CTTTAGTTTTAGAACCGGGCTTTTGCAGTACCGATGCTTGTGCCGCTGTGGGAAGAGGGGAGGAGGAAGCAAAAGACCCATTGATTTCCTTTCCTCCCTGGATTTACCTATTTCGCACAGAGTGAATATACAAGGGGGCGAGTTATTTTTAGATTACATTGTGATTGGTTCGGATGCTGGACGTATTGTGATTCTGGAATACAATCCTCAGAAAGTTTGTTTCGAGCGTGTTCATCAAGAAACATTTGGTAAAACAGGCTGTCGACGAATCATTCCGGGCCAGTATTTGGCCGTTGATCCAAAAGGCCGTGCTATTCTTATTGGTTGGTTTTTTTTTTTTTTTTTCCGATTATTCTTGGCACTTTGGTCGTTATTTTTAGAAGTAGAATTTGAAAAACAATGGGACATATACTTGCTGCCAAGTGTGGCTTTGGACCGAAACACCCTGTTGGACTGGGGCCTTGGTGGCCTCGTCCGCTGGCCCGGTGCTCCGGCGCTTCCTGGGATCGTTGGCTGGGTCGTCGACTCCTTGGTGATGGGGTTCGGGCTAGGAGAGTCCATGTCCTTCGTTGATCGTCGGGGCCGTCAGCACAACACACACAACACTGCTTTAACACAGAAACAGCAACCTTATATAGGCAGCCTCACGCCATTATACATGCCACCTACCTAGGAGGGAGTCATGATGCAACAATCCCTGTTCATCGGATTTCTTTATATAGTTTTATATCTGTTTTTATGTACCATAATTTCTCTATTTTAACCGCAGTGCTACTGGAAGTTCTGTTAACCATAGGAATGATGGCTATTATATATAACATAAGGATTGTTGTTGTTGGGAATATGAATAACCATAGAGACGACGGAGCAGATGCAATACCTCTCTGTGGCAAGATAAGTAGCGGCCAATAGAAAGCCGAATCGTAAGTGGACTGTCCAAGCGGAACAGCCGGAATCGGTTAAATTGATAATTTGCGGTCTTTGATAGACCGAACCGTAATTTCCAAAGCAAACGGCCGTCGGAACCGCGGAAAATATGGAACGGCCATAGTGCATATGAAAAATATGGAACGGCCATAGCCCATAATTTTTAAAATCGAATGAAAGAAAGCAGCGAAAAGAATGTTAGGACCAGAAGACTAACATCCAGATAATCCAGATTCGCATGCTAAATCTCTGTTTTACATCATCCGTTCGAAATTTTTTGTTTTTCCAGGCGCGGTTGAGCGACAAAAATTGGTGTACATAATGAATCGTGATGCAGCAGCAAATCTGACAATCAGTTCACCGCTGGAAGCACATAAATCCCACTGTATCTGTTACAGTGTTGTTGGTGTGGATGTTGGATTTGAAAACCCCACCTTTGCTTGCTTGGAAGTCGATTATGAAGTAAGATTTTTTTGCAGTAATTTTCTTATTTTTCTTTCATTTCTTATGGATATTCGTTTTATCATAACTACTGAAACAGTTTGTATCGTGAAAACCCGCGAAAAACCAGCAAAAATTGAAAAAATATGCAAAAATTGGATGATAGCCGAGTATCTTAGGGCACATGTAACAGTTGCCAATATTTTGATAGGCCGATTGTAGCATCCAGGTTGACCTTGAATGCTAAAATGTCGAAATCGGGGGGTGGATACAAACCAGGAAAAAATGAGGAAAGGAGGCAGGAATGAGATAAGACGTTTCGACCCATTAAGTTATATAGATAACACGTCACGATTCGAAAAATCCAGAGATAATGAAGGAGTTTTTTTTTCTTTCATATTCAAAAATCTTTACAAAAAAGGCTAAATTTGTAATAATTGGCTCCTTTTCGTGATTGTTGTGACTTGTGTTAGATCACGTAGTAGCAGTAAACCTCCCCTAATAACTGTAATTTGTGTTTTTTTGTATTTTGTCTTTCATATTTTTGAAAAAGTTGAGAAATCTTCACAAAAATTTTCGATTTTTTTTTCAGTGATTTTAAGTTTATTAACCTTTTTCCTGCTTTATCTTGTCATTTTTTGTTATTTTTACAGTATTTTACTACAATTATTTATCTTATCGAATACTTTTCGTTTCTCTTCTTTATTTACATAAGATTTAATTGAAAATTTAAAGGAAATTGACCATGATCCAAGTGGACATCTATTGACAAAAGTACCTCAGACGTTAACATTCTACGAACTGGATCTTGGACTGAATCACGTGGTTCGTAAATATGCCGAACCGTTAGCTGATAAAGGCAACATTCTTATTTCGGGTATGTTTTTACCGCATTTTTTCTTTTCTGGGTGTTTCAGAATTCTAAAGATACAAACAGTGAATATCCCTGGCTAGGAAATTGGAAGAGACGAAGACCTGAATTCTTCTATGTGTTGACATACGGAGTTTGTTTGGCGTTGTTGACCCACCGTGGATAGGAACACAATCGAATTTTGACAGTTATCGGAAAGCTGAAAGTGCCATTTAGATCAAAAATGCCTGATAAACTAACACTAAAAGCTTTTTCATAACGCTGCGACAGGATTCCCACCCTTTCTGTAGTTAGCTTGCTATTGGTGACCCTGATTTTCATTTTCCTGGTTTCTTGATAAGCCGATTGTAGCAACCAGATTGACTCTGAAAGCCTAAATGGCAAAGGCGCGATAGATTACAGCATGAGAGAACAGTATGAGAGGAGATAAGAGTGAGATAAGACGTTTCGATGCATTAAGTCATATACGACGTAACCGCGGCTGAACCTCGTCAGTAATTCGAGAATAACTTGTTTGTTTTTAACAGATGTACAGGAGTTTTCGAGAAAAGATTTATTAGAATTGAAGCTAAGCCATGATCGACTGGTGAATATCACAACACTGTATTTTTCCAGCAGTACTTATTAGTTGATTCAGCCATCATGCAAGTTTATTGCAGTCCCTGGTGGTCAGGATGGGCCAAGTGGTGTGATTGTTTGTTGCGAGAATTATTTGGTCTACAAAAATCTTGGCGATCAACCGGATATCAAGTGCCCAATACCACGAAGAAGAGTTCATTTTTTTTTTTAATGAATAATATATACGACCAAAAGTCAAAACCTTTTTTTCGTATTCATTTTTTTTTTTTTTTTTTTGAGATTTTGGGGGATTCGGGTGAGTATTCACTTCTGCATGAGCTAGAATCAACGATTTTGTCGTGGAATTAACAGTTCAGCGAAATTATCGATGCTTTTTGCCCTCCCCAAGTATTGTATGACGATGCGGGGCTCACACCCCAAGAATGGTGTTACCGCTATGTATCATGTTAGTGAATCTGTGTGTGTGTGTGTGTGTGTATGTGCGTGTGTGTGTGTGTGTGCTGAATAAATTGGGGAAAGGAGATCGTTGACACAACCGCACTTGTTTCTTCTTTTTTTAACCCCCACTTTCCCCGGGAACTTGCTTACAGGGCTTTTGGTGATTTTTCTCTTCTGAGGGTTGCTTAGAAGTAAGCTGATGGTAGTTTTGACTTCCTGGCATGCCCCAGT